GATCTAGAAGAGGGATAAAGGATTGTATAAAAGAGTGAGAGGGGTGTAATAAACATTCACTCGTCAGTGTGTTCTCTCGCCAACCAACTGTTTGAAGTAGGAATAAATGTACGTAATTACCAGGCTTATTCTTCTCCTTAGTACCTTAAATGTTTTCATTGGTGATGGAATGGGCGCAATGTAGTAAAGAGATAGGAATACGTGACGTATTTTTTAGTATCATAAACGTTTCCCTCATTTTAAAGATCTTTTGTCATCACCGACGAAAAGTAGGGGCGTTGGATGGCAGCCTACTGGAGCTGGTGATATTGAGTGCTACCGAAGAAAGCTTTGTTGATCAAATGAAATAATCAAGGCCTACCTATCATCTGCTCATTGAGTCAAGTATGCGCTCAAAATGTGCGACATGCTACATATTAACCCAAGTATCACTCATAAGTCGAAGTCCATCGACACACAATTTTCTATTCCCCTTTTTCCCATGTTGTTATGCCTGAAAAGACAGAAGGACAAATAGCTGAATACTGAATGGAATAATGAAAAGGAATCTTTGAGAACAACATGCTATCAAAAATGACGCGCATATAAATAAAGGGTTGGTTCTAAAGAAAGATCGTTCAACCCATTGACGGCCGTGCCTTTTATATTGTCCTTACATTAACTTTTCATTTTTCTTATAACTGTAGTTGGAAATGAATGATTCCTGGACCGCAATGCCTCAAGATTCTCTAGAAGGCTGTGTGCTCAGCTGATACTTGAAAACATGAAAAATTACAATAACACTCGATAAATAATATAAATACTACAGGAGCCCGATATGGTGTGACCCGCCGGCGGGCTACGCGGTCGTCCAGGGGTAAAACCATCCGAGACCGGCTGCTTTCATAGTCCAGGACCAGTCGCGCGAACGGTCGCCGGTCGCTCGCGAAATCGTGGACTATAAAAGATGCCACCGAGCGCTTTGGCGAACCTTCACGAAAATTTTACACAACCACTTGGTCGCTTTGACTGACGGATCCTTCTTTTTCTCACTAACCATTGTGCTTATGCCCGGATGCTACTTCGCAATCCACCATATGCGGATCGGAACAGGGGCAGGGTTACGGCCATCGCAGAATACCAGTAGAGGTCCCGCAGCGATTGCTTGTAAATTTTGGCAAATTGCCACGGACGGGACCTGTAGATATAGTTGGCTTCATTTAAAAAAATACAAGGCTTTGAATAGGGGTAGGACGGATTGAGATAGAAAAATGGCTGTCCGCAACGACTGCAATTGGGTAGATCTTACTGATGCATCTAAGCAGCTAATGTATCCGAAAGAAAAATAATTTCCACCATCAACTTCACCTTGAACATCCCCTCACCTCTCGGCGATCAGCTGATTGGATGCTGGGTGTATGGCTCCTGACGCGAATAGCGCAAACTGAATCCCCTGGCAGCCCTTGTTACATATCATCGGTCGACGGACGTGAACGTCGACGTATCCGGTTATGGGGCTGCCATTGTGCCCTATCCATTGAGTTTTTGGGCCCGACAGCGTCCTTTGTGTAGCCCTTGAGAGCCACTAGGCAAACTCTAAGGGGAATCTTGCCAGGGAAGGGTTTCAACTTCCCATGGAACTTTGAATAAAGATCTAGGTATGTCGATAGGTTTGGAAAGCCATTAACAAATTTAGAAATTAAAGCTACTGAACGAGTATACCAAAAAGTTGCGAGCGCTTATAGTTTGCATGGGCAAAGCGTGCAGAGATAGTGGCAGTTCAAAAGCGCAGCTGCCCACATTGCCCGCAAGGGTCTCCGTGGCATAGTGGCAGTGCTCTCCCTCTTCACGTGAACGATGAAGGTCGTTTTTTGTTCCCCCACGGGAGTGTCGACCCCCATATATCTGAATTCACTCTCGAGGGGTGTGCGAATAAATTTTCGATTGCGCCTAATCAAGCTCGCCTCGCACCTAGGCGCGAAGTGACCTCAATTAGGTGCGAAGACTCCGCGGTAATTACGCTGCCCATACTCGCTGCTAATCGAGTTAAAACTTGTCGACTAACAAGGGAAGAATACCAGGTCGCAATGGCCATTCAAGATGAAATGTATACCGACGTAGGTAGTTTCAAACGCTGATCTCAAATCTGGGTTCCAAATTTGCGAAACGATTCTGTGAGCAAAGTTACGACCCCCCCCCCCATCCCC